AGAAAGAAAGAAAGAAAGAAAGAAAGAAAGAAAGAAAGAAAGAAAGAGGGAGGGAGGGAGGGAGGGCAGAACAAAGCAAATCTTTACTGCATTTAGAGATTTCAAGAAGATGGAGACAGAAAATTCAAATGTGTTTGAAGACAAACAACTACTACCTTCTCATCACTGTAATCCATTTCTTCCCCCTTTGGTACAATACATAAAACTATGTAGGGAACTTCCTAAAATATTGATTCTTTTTTGGTCAATTATTCATTTTTCTTTCTTAAAACGCACAAGCTTCCCTTCAAAACCAAATTTCCCCAAGGAGTCTTACAGCCTATTAAAACTGAACAATAAAAACTGAACAATAATTCAAATACCAACAAAGCCAACACATCAAAATAAGGAACTGATCCAAATGAGAAATAGAAGTAAGAGCGGCAGACTAAGGAATAATAAATTATTTCAGCACATTAAAATTATGTAAAATTAAAAGAGCTAAAAAGTAAGAGAGCCAGTCTGCCGTAGTAGTTAAGGTACCAGGCTAAAACCTGAGGTATTGTGAGTTCTAATCAGTGGTGGGATTTAGCCAGTTCACACCAGTTCGGGAGAACTGGTTGTTAATTTTCTGAGCAGTTTGGTGAACTGGCTGCTGGAAGAAATCATCAGGGCAGAGAATTGGTTGTTAAATTATTTGAATCCCACCACTGGTTCTAATCCAACCTTAGGTTCCAAGCCAGCTGGATGACCTTGCGCCAGTCAATCTCTGCCAACCCTAGGAAGGAGGCAATGACAAATCATTTCTGAACTCTTGCCAAGAAAACCTCAAAAACTTGTCTAGGCAGTTGCCAGGAATCAACTTTGATTCAAAGGCGGTCATAAAAATTAAGATAATGCTTTAGGTACGTAATGAAATGGAACCGATTAGTGCTCTCAAAAACTCCTCATTAAAGTAAATAGGATAATTCTCTGAAAACAGAACAGAATACAAGCAGATGTCAATACTGACTTGAAGATACAGACAAAAAACGGGGAGGAGAGGGGGAAAATCAGGAAGTACCTAGATTGAATAATAATTGTCATAATTCTCTAAGTGGAAACAAATGATGCAACCTGGCTACGCTATTTCAATTTTCATTTTATGTTTTTCTATTTTTGCAAGAGAACGCCATTGTTCTTTGCATTTTGACCATACTGCCTCCTAATAATAATAATCAGAATTTTGAAATATTTCATATATTTGGCCATTTTAGAGAGTTAGTTTTGGGCTTGAATATTGTATTCCCAAAGTAATTTTATTCCCTTGGATTGCAAGGCGATCAAACCAGTCAGTCTTAGAGGAGATCAACCCTGACTGCTCTTTAGAAGGCCAGATCCTGAAGATGAAACTCAAAGACTTTTGGCCACCTAATGAGAAGGAAGGACTCACTGGAGAAGAGCCTAACGCTGGGAAAGATTGAGGGCAATAGAAGAAGGGGAAGGCAGAGAAGGAGGTGGCTGGATGGAGTCACTGAAGCAGTCAATGTGAGTTTAAATGGACTCCAGAAGATGGCAGGGGACAGGAAGGCCTGGAAGAACGTTGTCCATAGGGTTGTGATTAGTTGGACATGACTTTGCAACTAACAACAACAACAATTTTGTAATTTAGTGATTTCATTTTACATATCTAACCTTTTAGTAGGCTAAAAAGTCCCTGTACTTTATTTCCTTTTCTGTGTCAGGACTCCAACGTGCACCCCCATTCAATTCATAAGTCTCTAGCTGCATCTCTCAGAGTAAAAAAGATTGATTTATTAGGAGTTGACATGTCGGCGTTTCCCGGTTGCAGCCGACTCTGACACATCTTTCATTTCACCCTTGACCTTGGTCTTCTCCCCGCCGCCCCCGATGTATATTCTCCAAAGAGACACATCCATAGCCAAGAGTCATCAATCATACTCTCCAGTAATCATTTTGCATGCCAGAAGCTTCGGTTGCCAAAGCGATTATCTGAAGCATTTAAGGAATGCACTGATTTCCCCCCCCCCTCTTTCTGCTGACAACTAAAAAGACCAAAGAAGTATTTTTTTGGTTGACATTCTGTCATTTCTGTTATATTGTGTATCCAATCTTGCATGATTTCAAAAAAGCTAAGCTGGTTCTTGCTTACGACTTGGACAGGACAGGAGAAGGAAATCTCAGGGCTGTAGGCCAGGCTGTGAAGATGAAAGAACGTCCTGGAAAAAGGTCATGGTGAGCCATTGATCTTTTATTGCGGAGAAAGCCATATGAATGTGTCCATGAGCTCACCTAAAAGTGAAGCCTAGCTTGGTGTGCATTTATTTTTAATACATGGATGGGACCAGGTTGGAGAAAACTGCTCTACAAGGGAAGATGGGAGGCAAGACAAGAAGGAATGGATGGAAGCTTAACAAAGACCGATCTATCCTAGAATGAAGGAGAAGTGGTCAACCTATTTTCCAAAGCACCAGAGGGCAAGGCAAGGGACAATGGATGGAAACTACACAAGGAGAGAAGGAACCTGGAACTAAGAAGAAATTTCCTAACAGTGAGAAAAATTAACCAGTGGAAAGGCATGCCTTCAGAAGTTGTGGTTGCCCCATCACTGGAGGCTTTTAAGAAGAGACTGGGCAGCCATTTGTCTATAATGGTATAGGGCAGTGGTCCCCAAGAAGAGACTGGACTGTCTGGAATGGTATGGGGTCTCCTGCTTGAGCAGAGGTTAGACTAGAAGACCTCCAAAGTCCCTTCCAACTCTGTTATTGTAAAATTTCCTGACAGAGAGAACAATTAATCAATGGAACAGCTTGTCTCGATATTGTGGGTGCTCCACCACTGCAGGTTTTTAAGAAGAGATGGACAGCCATTTGTCTGGAATAGCAATAGCACTTAGACTTATATACTGCTTTATAGTGTTTTACAGCCCTCTCTAAGCGGTTTACAGAGTCAGCCTCTTGCCCCCAACAATCTGGGTCCTCATTTTACCCACCTCGGAAGGACGGAAGGCTGAGTCAACCTTGAATCAGTCAGGATCAAACTCCAGACTGTGGGCAGAATCAGCCTACAATACCATATTCTAACCACTGCGCCACCAGGGCTCCTAATGCATCATCCAATCAACTACAGCATTAGCAATAGCACTTAGACTTAGATACAGCTTCACAGTGCTTTCTAGCCCTCTCTACGTGGTTTACAGAGTCAGCCTCTTGCCCCCAACAATTTGGGTCCTCATTTTACCCACTTCGGAAGGATGGAAGGCTGAGTCAACCTTGAGCCTGGTGGGATTTGAACTGCCAAATTGTAGGCGGCTGGCAGGCAGCAGAAGTAGCTTGCAGTACTGCACTCTTAACCACTGTGCCACAGAGGAATGGTATAGGAGGGTCTAGAAGACCTCCAAGGTCCCTTCCAGCTTTGTTTTCTTGTTATTCTGTAGTCCTGATTTTAATTTGAGTGGGATGGAGAGGAAGAGAAATGGCTTGAGAAGGTTTCACATACCAAAGCAAGCTTGAATTCCTGGACTCTTGGGTTCTATTGAATGACATCTCGGGTAACAGCTGGTATCAGGAAACAGCAAGGGGAAACACAGGTATCTTAAAGCCATGAATGATTGATGGATGGAGCGAAAAATAAAGGGCTCAAATTCAGACAGCAGCCATCAATATTTAAGCTTAAAAAATTCAAACACCTCAGTTGGCCTATTCTACCAAAAGGAAACACTGATGCGCTAAATATAATCGGAATTGGACTGGAAGCTACCATTGCAGAAATAGGCTACAGCCGTGGCACATCCTTAAGTGGAACATGGCATGTAAAGAGTTGACATTAATAGTTTTCTCTGTTAAAAAAAAATAGCTCTGTCTTTATTGCCAGAAGAGAGAAGTATTGTAGAAGAATTCTCTCTCCCAGAAAACACCATTTAAAACCATTTTCCTGGAGGGTTAATATCTGTTATTCTGCTAAATAACATTATATTAAGGGCAGATTTTACTTTATGAAGGGCAGATTTTACTTTAAACAAGCTGCTAAAACTCCAAATGCCAATCAGTTATCAACTTGAACCAATCCAATAACTCATATCACAGCTGAGATGGAGCACAAAATCAGATGCAGACAGGTAAAAGAAGCTCATGGTTTGTTCGTTAAAAAAAGAAAGAGGATAGGTGAAGACAAAATACCTTATCATGTACCTTTTTCCTTTGCAACTATAGTGCCTCGGTACTCAACTGCTTTGAAACTCACTTTACAACCTCCACTTTTCCCAAATTTTTGGTTGCCGAGTAAGACATTTGCTAAGTGAATTTTGGCCCATTTTACAATCTCTCTTGCCACCATTGTTAAGTGAATCACTGTGGTTGTTAAGTTAGTAACACAGCTGTTAAAGCGAATCTGCTTTCCCTATTGATTTTGCTGGTCAGAAGTTCTCAAAAGGTGTGATGACCCGGAGTGTAACACAAACATAACAAAATCTAAAATGTAAGTAAATGTCCTTTAATGCCTCCAACTTGGCCCCACTGTTCAATAATTCTCAGTTGGATAAAACGTACTCAAAAATAGTCTTCAAAAGAAAGCAATACAGTCCGAACTTAATGAGCAGATAAGAGGTGAAATAAAAAAAACCAAACAAACTACAATGAAGGAATTTCCACAACAGACCAGGATAAGTAA